AATGGAATTATCAAACTGAATTGAAATTCCTTTGCCCCTTCTGAAGTATTTGAGTAGATCAGAGTATTAACCAGATCTCCATCTGCAACAGGATTAAAAATTCAAGCTCAAAGTGATTCTTTTTCAGTGTGGAGAATCTGCAAAGATGTCCTTTTGAGCTGATTATTTGTCTTTCTTTTTTCTGCTTGATGTCTTGTGTTGGTTTGTGACTTTGTATTTATGGGATGTTGGTTTTTTTGCTGTTTATCAGTCTTATACCTCAGAGGTAGATAAATAACCTCGTGTTATTGAACTAACGTGCAAATCTGTAGAAGAAACCTATTCAGAGCTGTTAATCAGAGTCAGTGCCAGGTTTCCTATTCCTTTTGCTGCCCAACCATTTGTTATCCTGGTTTTGTTTTTTTTTATAGATGCAACAGTGATTTTTCAGTCTGTGTATGTATAGATAATATCTCCTATAACTGATTTTTTTTCTCTCTTGTAGGTAAATTTTATTGTAAACCTCATTTTACGCACTGCAAAACCAGTACAAAACACAGAAAGAGAAGGGCAACAATACAGATCCATGGACAGGTATGGAGTGATTATATTGTTAAAGCAATATTGGGGCAGATTTATCTGGGGCAGAGTGCAATACTTGTGTGTGGATGTAGATGTTTTCTACCTCACGTGCAGTGAAATCAGTGTTAAAATACAAACCTGGTTCTGTGAGTTTGGTGTGTTTCTCATCTGGTTCTCAATGGAATTTAGCTTTTCTAGCAATGTAAAGCTGAACTTAAGAGCAACTGGAAATTCAAATGTATGGAAAGGTGTCTAGGTTTGAAAGACAAGTGTCTGCCAAGGAAGGCAGGAGCTTCTTTTTAAAATAGAGAATGTAAACTCCTTCCCTCCAAATTATTATAATTTCGAAATTAAGGGGCTCTCAGGCAAAGATATGGGAATAGGAATAACAGTTCTTTACTAGGAAAATTAAAATAGCAATCCAGTATTACAGAGAACAAACCCAAACCACTGCCAGAGTGAGAATCCCAGCTGCCCCCGTCAGTCAGTCAGGGTTGGTGCAGTCCCATTCCATGGTGGCTGCATCCTCCTGCAGTGACAGATGTGGTTCTGCTGGAGCAGGGCTCCTGCACAAGGTGCAGTTTTCCTCCAAAGCTGCAGGGATGATGTGCAAGGCTCTGGTTTTCCTCTGGGATCCAGTGGGAAAAGGCTGCTCTGCTGTTCCAAATCTCCCCTTTGATCTGGGTAGGAAATGCTCGGCTCCTGCCCTGGCTGGAGCATCTCCCAATGGGATGATGGAATTTGATCAGCCCTGCCCTGGGACTGCATGGCCATGGACAGGCGAGATCTCCTGGAGGGAGGATGGGTTGTGGAAAAGATCAAGAACACTGCCCCACCTGATTTTAACCCTGACCCATTAGCAGAAAATATCTCCCAAGGAGATGAGGATCACTGCCCCAGCTGGTTAAACAGAGGGTGATAGAATACAGACTTTTGGTCACATCCTGTATTGCAATCTAAGACAAAAGGCTTGGAGGCAGGAGCTGGACTTACCTACTTTGGAGGCATATTTAACTCTTTTTATTTTGAATGCTTTTCCTAAGGAGGCCATAGACGCGTGGAAGAAAGTGGAAGCCAAGGCCACAGAGATCAGCACAGAAAGCACTTTGTCCACTGCTAGCAGTCCAGAGGACAGGTCCCCAGGTATCCTGACTTCCTTCTTAGGGGGCGCGCTAAGCTGGCCCCTGCGGGTGACCAGGGATCTGCTTGACATTCCCAGCCGCCTGGCTAACTGGATGCATGGTGTCCTGCACGCTACCCACCTGCATTTCAGGGACAATGCCTATAACTATACCTACCTGTACGAGCTGCTGAGCCTCGGGGTGCCGCTGCTCTGCGCCCTCCTGGAGGTGCTCACTCACATGTACCGGGAGGCAGAGCTCTCACTTGAGAACGTGCTTGAATGGGTGAAGAGATTCTGTGGGGTCTGACTCGTGTCTTGCTCAGTCGTGCCTTTCAGATTTTCAGGATTAACAGCCTGGCTATTTTCTCCAGGGGGGGGGTTTGGTTTTGGAGGGTTTTGGTTTTTTGTTTCCTATGCAATTTCACGCGTGGCTTCGTTGAATGGTGGGTTCCTTCTGATAGAAGCGAGGTACAATCAAAATTTTCAACACAAAATGTACTGTATGTTAGAGCATGAAGGACAGTGTCCAAACACATTTCCAGAACATGAACTCAGATGAAGGATATATTTTAGATTATTTCCCTCCCTGTTTTATTCTGTGATCACACCATTGGAGAAGATGGCATATTTTGAAACCATTTTTCTCCTTACTCTCCCCAGCTTGTTTTTTTCTTTTTTATTCAGTTAGACCAAGAAAGAATGTGTGTTCTTTCAGGAATATTTCTGACAAATGACTGGGTTTTGAAACCTGAGTATGGCACATAGCTTTTTTTTTTTCCTTGCTTTCATCTTTGCTCTAGGTTATGAGGTTTATAAGTTGCATGAATATGTTTTAAAAAAAGTCATGTACCTAATTCATGTTGCTCCTAGTCATGCCTTTTACATTGCTTGTGAAGGATACCTTTTATTGATAGTGGGTATTATCTGTTCTACTAATTTATTTGAAATTTTTAAATAAATTTGAAGAGCAAATCATAGTTGAGTGAAGGCTTGATTGAAATTTTAAGTCAAAGGAACTGGTAGGAAGAAGTAGACCAGGCACTCCTCAAGTCAAGGCTTCCTCATTTGGTGGCTGATATGAGGAATATCAATTTATGGAGAGCTCCTTGTAACTGAAGTCACTCCTATTGTACCCCTGGGCAAGCACTGCTCCCAGTGTCTTTTGGAATTTTTAAAAAACACAGATCTAGAGCAAACATCAAAAGCCTCTAAATGTATTCTTAGACAATAACTTCTTACTTGGGTAATTCATTTCAACGTGTGCAGCTGGTGGCAGAAAGGTGAAATTCTATTATCTGGAGCAGCAGATGAGTCAGTTTCTTTCAGATGTCCCCCAGCAAGGTCTACCTTAATCAGAAGGTCCACCTTAGTCAGTTAAACAGCAAGGACACAGTGACATCCCAATGCTCATTACTTTCAGCCTAGTTAGCCAGCCAGGTAAGCATACTCCCTGCCTTTCAAGTCCTTATTTATACTCAGAAGTTTACCAGGAAATAGGTAAATCCTTAAACATGGCAGTATGTGTAGCTGAAAATGAAAAGCATCTGTAGCATTTATTTGTAGCCAGAAGAATGTGGCATGGACAATAGGAAATGGTTGCATTCAGTTAGTACCAAAACTGAGGATCACCTGCCAGTGGTCTCAAATAACTGTGCTGCCTATGGGCTGGCAGGTCTTGGGGTTTGTTGTTTTGTTTTGTTTTGATTTAATATAATGTGGGAAAAGATGATATGAATTGTTTTGCTTCTTAGCAAAAGGAAATGTGTCTGCTGTTTAAAATAAATGACAAACTGGATCTTTCTTCTAGATAGTTTGACTTTCTTTAAACTATGAGGATGAGCTTTTCACATTTTAGAGTGATTATATATTTTGGGGGGGAAATTGTTATTTTTATGCACAGAACTTGAAAAAATGCTTGAAGAAAATGGTTAGATTAGGTAGTATTCCTTTTCATAAATTGCCATTAATGCTCAAACATGTATTCAGCCAAACTTTGCTACAACATTGAGTGGGCACAGCAATAATTACAGTTACATGGTGGCTGTCTGTATATGTATAATGTACCTGCACCTTTCTTACAACATTTAAAAAACCCAGCTTGGAAACACTGTATTATTTTTAATTATTGGCTAATGATAGTAACTGCTTCACCCCAAAAAGGAGACAGCCTGCAGTGTGGTTGCTCCTGCAACACAGCAAACTGCTGAGTGGTCAAGTTTCCAGATTTGGGCTGCCATCAATTTTGGTTTCAGTTTGTCAATAGGAGAGTCTTTAGGAACACTTCTTCCTAATGTTTTCTCCTGCTGTTTGCTATGGCAGAGTGAACATAATGGTAAATGTAGAGAAAATGGTGGTGCAGTAAGAAACTTGGAAATCTCTGGCCAATGAACTTAAACCAAATGAATCTTACTAGTAGAAAGTGTAAAAATAAGATTAAAAAATTAAAATACGGTATTGGTTTTATACAGATTTGTATAATGGGGCATAAATCCCTGTATTTCCACAGCAGAATTCAGGAATTTGCATGATGAAAATGTTTTTAATTACCATGCGTGTTCCACTGGGATTCTGCAGGTGATTCTGTTGAGAGGGTTATTTTATTGGTATCACTCTGATTGGTCGATTTTTTTTTTACTTCTTCATCTTCCTGTTCTGCTAGTAATACTCATACCTGCTTGTCCTGGTTGATAATTGAATGAAAAAAAGGCAGTTTCATTTTGGCCAGTTGTTCTCTGTACCGATGTAATCTTCCTGATGCTTTCCTCCATAACCAAGTGAAGTTCTGTGTTTTCTTCCCTGCTGTCTTCTCTGCCAATCTCCCTCATTGCTTTTAGTCCAATTCAACATTCCGGTGCTGCACCCGCTCACTGGCTGAAGCCTTTTCTGCTCTCAGGTGATTTTTTTTTTCCCGTTCCAAAATTACATGACTAACCCTGTTGTTTGACGTCATTTCATTGTGTGTTTTGGGTTTGTTTGTTTGTTTTTTTTAACTGTTGGAGCAATCTGTGTGTCTGGTATATTAATGGAGCTTTGGCATGATTATTTAACCTGTTGCTGAATTCACAGTCCTAGAAAAGATAATGTCTGTGCTCTTTGTAGGGAATGTTTTTCTCTCTGTGTCTGTGCATGTGCCCTTCCCTGTGCCTTTAAGGTAAGTTAGGCAAGCAAAGGGTTTCTTGAAAGAACTTGTTAAGGCCTTATTCTTTCAAAGAACTGTGAAGGAAAGGTTTAAAATTAGGCCAGGGTGTGATTACCCAGCTGATTCTCCAGGTTAACCTGTTTGCACGGAGCTCACACACTCCATGAGCAAGCAGTGTCTGAGCACTTCCCTGCTTTCCTACTGGAAAAGTCTGGTACAAAAGGTTCTGCAGAAAAAGTAGCCAAAACCGTGCAAATTCCAGTGTTCCACCCCAAGTGACACCTTTAGGCAGGCCTAAGAGTTCCAGAGTGCTTTGGTCTGGCAGGTTTTATTCCCTTGGTTGGCACTCTGGTGGATGGGTTTCTCTTCAGCACCCCGCTCCACAACCAACCCCCACCATGATTTTGTGTCTGTTTTTTCACATGAGTTCCACTTGGTGTAATCACCAGGGGACAGTCTGGCAGGGGAAATGAATCCCAGCAAGAACCAAGGGCTCAGGCTGACCAGCAAGTGCACTGAGCCTGGCTGGTGTGGTCCTGACCCAGCTGAGGATCCCTCTCAAAGGGAAGGGCCTTGGAACTGATCTTAGGAGCAGCTTTAGGAGGGGCAAACATCCTGCCCCATTTCCCAGCCTCAGGCAGCATGCTCCTGATCCTGCTGGTCTCTACATTTGCATGACTCAGCCAATAGTATTTATTTGTGTGGGTATCCTAAAATGACTTGAGGGCTCTGAAAGTCCCCACGCTGTGCCCACACAGAATCTCTCTGTGTTTCCAGTGTCACTTCCTGCACAAATGGCTGGGATGTGACTCCCAGTGTGTTTCAGGGCTGCAGTGTGTTCTTACAAAGCTCAGCATGCTTTAATATGAAGGTCATGACATTAAGGTCTGCCATTTCAAACCACTTCCTATTGCTGTGTTTTTTACTCTCTGTTGCAGAGTCTTCCTTGCTCTTCCTGCCCAGTGAGGATTCTGTCCTTCTCCTTTTAAATCTTCTGTCTTCATTTTACTTGATAATCTTAACTGAATATTTTTATTAAGTAGTTTTTAACTCTGTATTTAAATTTTCACATGAAGTTCTGTATTTTGCACACGACGAAAATTGTTTTAGCTTTATTTATGATATCTGCTGTAAACAAAAATAAATGTAGTTCTTTATAAGTCTCCTTGTTTCATCTCTTCCTTTTATACAAACTTCCTGGGTACAGAGACTTGGTAGTGACTTCACGCTGGTTTTGCACCTTCCTCTTGTGGTGGAAGCTGTGGTGTTCCCCTGCTTGTGGCCTGAGCCAGAGGCCTGAGGGTGTCCCTGTGCTGGTGTCACTGCATGTGTGTCCCTTGGGGAAGGGCTGCACATCGGGAGCCTGAGGAGTTGTCCCCTCCCTGCAGAGCCAGGGTGGCCGGTGCTGGCATTTCCCCTCCCGGGCGTGGGGAGCTGGTGTTGGTGGGCATGGGGCACACACAGACAGCACTGTCCTCCTCTCTTTGGCCTCTGCTGCCTTTCCTTACCCTGCTCTTTTACAGATTAACGTGTGTCATAAAGGTAATAATGAACGTGTTTGGATTTTTGGTTATGTTCAGGAAAAGCAGGTAATAACCCAGGATAAATCTTTACCTTTGCTGCTCACTCTGGAGTGCTGTTCCCAGTGCCTTCTGGACCCCTGGAAGCTGCAGCTCATGGTGACCCATTACCTGTTAACACTTGCCTTGCTTTATTTAATTACCTTTTTTGTTTTTAAATTAATTTTTGTATTTTAAGCTGGTGGTGGAATTCTTTTTAATTAGCAGGTTCCCCAAAAGAGCTTTCCTAAGTCTTCCTCCCCTTCATTTTCTTTCTTTTGCTTACTCTGCAATTATTAAGCTATAATCTCTTCCTTTGCATTACAAGAAAAAAACAAATCCCAGAAAGAATAGTTCCAAGAGTTTAATGGAAATATTGTATGATTTTATTTTTTTATTTAATTAATTAAATCTGAGCCTCACTGTGGCTGTTTGAACGACAGAAATTATTTTTTTTTAAATTGTTGCTAAAGACAACATTGCCAAAGAAAAGCAAATGTTATTCTCAATGAACTATTCCATCTTCCCCACCAAAGGAAAAGCCACCAGGCACAGTAAAAGTTTGCTGTCCGAGGGGGAGATGATATCCATCATGAAAACATGGGGCAAGAAATACCACTGAGGACAATGCTTGGCACTTAATTGTAACAGACAAAGCAATTTGGGTAAAACTGAATTTCTTCTTTGCACAGTTCACAGTTTTAGGCAGAGGCAGTGGCAGGGAAACATCAGAAGAGTTTTTTTGCCTGCAGAAGGTGACGATTTGTTTGGCACTGAAGCGTTGAGAGGCATCAGATGTTCATGCTGTTCTCATAAAGTTTCACTCCTTCCTGCTAAAATATCAGGACAATGACTTGGAACTGGGGCAATGTAGAGCCTGGATTTATTTCTCCCAGAGATGCAGGAGGCCCAAGCAGTCCCATCAGTAGCCAGTGCTGGCAGCAGAGGGACAGACCTTGCAGTAGACAACCCAGGCACTCGTGGGCCAGGCAGGACACAGAGCATGGATAAGAAATAAAACTGACCAAATAAATAATCAGCACCAGAGGAGGAAGTTTCTGCTGGTTCCCTCACTCTTGGTCCACATCATGACACAACACCACTACATGTTCCCTGTTCTGCTGCTGCTGGGAGAGCAGATGGCCAGATGCTGCTGGGAGAGCCTGGTGTGTGAAGGTCTGTGTGAATTTACCCAGCTGGGCTGGGACTCCTCACCTTGCCCTGCGAGCAGGAGACCTGCAGCTCCTCCTGGAAATCTCTGCAGAGCCTGGCTGGCAGCAGTGCCCCCACAGCTGGGAGCTGTGTCCCTTTGCAGAGCTGTGTCCCTGTGCAGAGCTGTGTCCCTTTGCAGAGCTGTGTCCCTTTGCAGAGCTGTGTCCCTGTGCAGAGCTGTGTCCCTGTGCAGGGCTGTGTCCCTGTGCAGGGCTGTGTCCCTTGCAGAGCTGTGTCCCTTGCAGAGCTGTGTCCCTTGCAGAGCTGTGTCCCTTGCAGGGCTGTGTCCCTGTGCAGAGCTGTGTCCCTTGCAGAGCTGTGTCCCTTGCAGAGCTGCAGAGCTGAAATGAGAGGCAGGCTGCTGCTCTGGGCTCGCCCTGGGTGCCTCCCCAGACCCCTGGTTTCAGAGCAGGGCACTCCAATGCCTCTTGGCACAGTTCATACCCTCTAAGACCTGATGTCACAGGTTCCACTCCAGCATGAGAAAGACACAGGTGACCCTGGCAGGCTCAGGAGCTGCTCTGTCTTTCCTCCTCCTTACACTGCTTCAAATGGATTCTGAACTTGTCTTTTGCCATTTGGATTGAAAATAAGTACAGAGATGTGCCTATTTTCTCTATTAAATTTCTCTTTTTGAAGAGCCAGGCCAACCTTTCATTCTCAAAGCCAGGCAGCATTAACTGCCTAGGTGTCTGTTAATGAAAACCAAACCTGTCAGCATTCACTAAAGGTAACCCACCTTGATTATAATTATGCTAAACCTTTAAAATTAAAAAGATCTTGCAGGTTTTAAACGCACTTGATTTGAATAGAAGAATACAGACAAAGCTGCTTAAAATGGCTCAAATTCAAACATCAGCCTTTCATTAACTCTACCAAGAAGAGTAATTTCTGTTCCTCTGAGTTTCTTCTAAATTGCTACAGCTGTAAAATGCCAGTGAAAGTTGCTTCTGTGTGTCTTCCAACCTCAAGCAAAGACCATGGTCTGCATTTTTCCACAGCATTATGGCAATTAGTTACTATAATTGGCTTTAATTCACTTCTGGCTCACTCATTCCTCACATTCCAATCAAAACATTGAGTTTTGAAATGCACTGAATTCTGCATTAATATTTATGTTTTTGAAGACATGACATGTTTGCAGGTGACTTCTTTTTTTTTTTTTGCCTGAAAGATCATGTCACTGAAGATAGGAAGACATTATGTATTAATGCCTGATGCAAGTGCATGTATTAGTCATGTAAATATTTCCCCAAGTCTCTTTCCTTCCCTTCATGAACTGTGCTCACATAAAAAGAAGGCTTTAATCTCATCAGGTGGTGGGTTCCAGACTTGTTTGAAATGGATGGAATTTCTGAAATTTTTTTAAATGTGAAATGAGGAAATTTCCTTGTTGCTGTAGTACTGAATTTGCCCTTTCAGCATTTGTTCTGCAGGTATTCATTCATTCATTCATGTCTTTGTTTTAAGTTTCTTGGTGCTTTGAATCTGTGTCCAAAAATACTGTTTTGATGGACACTGGAAACTGAAAGTGGTGTTGCTGCACTCCAAATTCATAATTAATACATGCCTTAATATACCAGACTAACACAGATTGCTCTAATTAAATATATATTTACTCTAAAATGATAGAAGTAGTGTGCTATCATCGCAGGTTTTGTCTGAGAGACAATTTTTCCTAAAGACACATACTCAGTATATCTAATAGGTTTCCTCTAAGTTTCCTTTTTTTCTCCTTTGTCTCTGTTAATTTTTGCTCAGTTTGTATTACCACATAAATGTGCATTGTCCCCTCAGAGGCATTAAAAAATCGTGGGGGTCTCTGTCTGGCTTGGAGAGCTTCAAACTCCTTGTCTGCATTTTGTGCCAGGATTCAGAAGTGTTTGTTCACAAAATAAGTGATGGAGACTTGGAAGAAGAAACTTCAGAAGTTTTACTGCTGAAGAACTTGTGAGGTGCTGGCAGGGCTCACAGGGGAGTGGGAGGAGATGGTGTCCTGGCAGGGGGACAGGAGGAGGGGGCTCATCCCTGCTCAGGGATGGAGAGGAGGTGGCAGGGAAGCCTCTGCAGGTGGTTTGGAAGCCAGGCAGGTGCTCTGGTGCCAGGAAGCTCAGTGCCACCCCATGGATAACGGGAGCAGCAGTTCCCTTTGCTCTGCCTTGTGTTGGCCACAACAGAGTGGAGCTGGCTTCTGTTGGAAGTGTGAAGCAAGCATGAGGGAAAAGAAAGGGAGATGTGGCAAGAGCTGAAATCTCTGAAATATCAGCCATCACACCTTGTGTAGGAATCTTTTCCCAAGGGCAAAAGCCTGCCTGGTGGTATCTCAGGTGAGATGAAAAGTCAAAGTTGGGACAGGACACGGGTTTGGGAGTGTGGAATAGCTCAGTGGGATGTGCTCAGTTTGCAGCTCTGGCACAGGCAGTGCTCCCATGCAGCCTTGTGTGTTCTGAGCTCAGGGTGCAGGATGCAGCTCTGGCAGCTCTGAGCTTGGGTTTCACTCGTGTGGGCTGCTGAGCCCTGTATTTCAGCAGCACCAAGGTCTAACCAAGCTGGAGGTGTTTCCTCCTTGCCTCTGCCAGTCCCACGGGGGCTGTGCTTCCCTGCAGGGTGCTTTGTGCTCAGGATCTGTGCTCAGGGAACCCCTGAGCTCACTGGGTTCATTCCAGCTGTGCTTGCACAGCTCTGATGCTAACACACCTCTCTCCTGTCCCCACAGCTTTCCTGCAGCACTGCAGCTTTGTAAGCTGGACTCAGATTGCTTTTTTGGTTCATTGCACAGTGAGAAGGCAGGCAGTGAAGCGGGCTGGGTGTGCTACAGATCAGTTTGTGGTGTGCTGACTGAATTTCCTAATGCTGGTTCTCGATGCCAGCTGGTGTTTGCTTTCACCACCGGAGCTGCCCACGTGTGTGAGTAACTCCAGAACTGCCCACTCCTGTCAGGGCCTGAGTCAGCAGCTCCATACAAGGCCAGGCAGGGTCCTGTGCCCTGTGACTGAGTGATGAGGTGACAGGGTCATGGCAGAGCTCGGCATGGCCGGGCAGGCACCATGCCAGCTGGGCTGGAGCCTTGGAGGGGCACTGTGCTGTGCCCAGGCACCCACACCCAGAGCACTGCCACATCTGGGTGCTGCCCTTCACTGAGGAGCCTTTCACTCAGCCCTGTGCCAGTCCTGAGTGCCTGGGGCAGTTTTGGGTAAGTACTGTTGGACTGTTCCTGCTTCACAGCCTCAGCGTGTGCCAGAGGTGGCAAAACATCACATCCCCACAGCAGGCTGGGACAGCTGATTCCAGGAGATCCCATTCTTCTTCCCTATCCCCCAGCAAAACATCACATCCCCACTGTGGTCTGGGACAGCTGATTCCAGGATTCCTGCCTATCCCCCAAACAAGAC